GCGGTAGCCCCCAAAACCGCCTGTTCCCCTTTCCTGTACAGTAACACAGTCGTGCTAGTTTTCCACAGGTACTTTGTATTCCGACAGACACCGCTTGAAGAGCATAGGCAGAGAAGTGATCATAATTGGTGGAAGGCTTACAAATGCTTTGATTCAATAAAATCGGGATCGGACGCCGTACAATTCTTCACAACCGTAATGGCATGTCGTGACGGAAGGAAGAACCGAAGAAGTCCATCTCGCCTAAGACGGTAGACGGGTGGACATAGATGTGTGCAGGTAGACGCCGGCACACAAAGAGACCCGAGTAGGAGTCGCTGCTGACCTTTTCCGTTGCCCTTCGAGGTGCACTAGCATTTCTGTCAGAGCGAAGAAATGAAGGCGTTTTGGTCTCCTGATGGGCTTCCTGTTGTACGCACCTGTCTAAGGTAGACTTCTGTGGGTATTCGTCCGTAGTTTTAATAATCAATGCCTTTGGATAGTTGTCGCGCCTTCACCGAATGTAAGTTCCATGCGCTTCCGACCATGGCGGAATTGTACCGATTTGTGAGTTGAGGTTGTCACTCGAACCCTTGCACTGTTCATAGAGGCTAGCGTTTGATGAGGTTTTAGGACAGGCCCATTTGAGTGGCATGAGCGGTCACCGCTGTAAGCTGTCGCATTTCAGTAAAAGCATCTTCTAGGATATCGAAAAGTTGTGAAGTAGCTCTGAGATAAATTTGGTCATGGCTGCATTGGACTAGTCCGTATAGCATAATTTTTATGGTAAGTCCCTATAAATATTAATTGAAGTCATCAATCAAGAAGAATCAAGAAGTCAGTGTATCTTATATCCAGGGGTTGATTCCTGAGTGAGATAATCGCAAGGCTGTGGGATGACTGTGTAGCATGTTGCACTAGGTCAAGCAATAATTTGAAGAATATAGACTATATGGGCTACCACTTCGAAGTTTGAGGGCAGCACTAATATCTTCATCTGAAATCTCATTGTTGCGGATGCAATCGCACAAGATGTGAATAATGACCTCTCTCCTCGCGCTGGCAAACTCTTTCGAAAATTGAACTACACCTTCCATCCTCTCTTTTCTTCGTCTCTCGGCTTCCTCCGTATCCTCTACACCCATCTTCATACTGAAGCCTGTATCCATCTCTCTCCGGCATCTACGGCTTCTGAACTTTTCTTGTAGTACTCGCAGGTCACCACTTTCTGAGGCTGACGTCATCTACTAATTTCGTCTTTCCTTGCTTGACTGCCTCCTCTGTCTCCATCACTTCTTGCGCGTTCTTCTCCTTCCCCTTGTCTTTGCGGGCACTCTAGTTAGCAATACCTATCGCTTACTCTGCTACCGGTTTCTTCTGCCCCTTTTCTTTTACGGAAGTGGGGACTGTGGACTATGACGGCTCTGTTGTAGTATTCTTAGTGGACACCTGCTAAGCCCAGGAAGTACTAATTTCGGGTTCTATAAATGTCGAGGATTTAGCTGAATTAGGGTGGCTCTCCGGACGAGTTGAAGTAACAGGAGTATGAGCTGGACCACTTGTACTACTCTTCTGGACTTGGTTTACATGAGTTGATCGTGGAGTATTTTGCCTTATATTAGGAAACGCAGAAGCAACCCCATCTTCAAACTTCTCCAATTCAACCATGGGATGCGCTGTATACACTCTTCCTTTGATTCCAACCAGGTGAACTTGTAAGGACAAAAGAGCGTAAAAACACGGAAGAATGCAACCAGGTTCTAAACGCAACGGTAATGGTTGTTACTAATGTTGATCTCAATTAGCGTGCCTGTTAGTAACGGAAGAGGGGTGAGAAAGTCAGCACAATGACGAGAACTCACTCTTTTTCCAATTTCTAAATTTCTAGATTGATTCGCTGCATTTAGTGTCGACATATAATCCATTCAGATAAAAGCTTTCTATGCGAATATTAGGCATCAAGAAAAGAGTCATATTGAAAAGTACTTGATATCAAAGCACCATTAGAACTAACGAAATTGAAATCATTTACCAAGTTTAACAATTATGATCTCTTCTAAAGCATTTAGCGGAACAGCCTTTTCCATAATTCCAGCCGCTGCTGTGCCATGCTTCCTTCGAATGAGGGTATAGCATCCTTGGCAGAAGCTCTTGCATTTAGACATCGTTTGAGGATCAGAAACAGGCTTCCTTCCGAATGGCAGCTCTTTGAAGAGGCAGATGCTGTCATAAATTAGAGCAACAAGAGCTCCTCAAAGAGGCTGATCGTGTTTTCTTTTACTTCCTCACAGTAAAGGAACCGAGAATTCACCAGAGTCACCTGGCCTATTAAATGATATAATAGGTTGACAAACCTTTTGCTTCTCTTTCGCACGTAAGGCGTGTAAGCGCCATCTGGTCACCGAGACCCACAAACCCTTTCACGACGTTGTAGTCGGCAACGGCAACAGCTTTCGCACCAGGCTTGCAACTTGCACCATGTTTGCTCAAAAAAATATGAATAATTCCTCGATCACTCTACTTCGAAATCAGCACTATCTTTTGATTCTGCTGACAGAGAAGCTCAAAATTTTGCAGGTTTTTGCCTCCCACCTCAGTGCTTAAGTTGGGCTTTTCAGTCCCTTCTCAAAGCACCTATAGAAATTGGGTTGTCCTAGTTGTATGAATTCGGTAAAATAGCGTTAGAATGACTACGATTCGCTCTTATCTTGCTGCCATGGGGTTGTCTGTGTATTTCTTCTCCCAAGTTCCAAACCGCGTCCACGAGTACAAAACTTCTTTATCTCCCTCAAACTTGGGAACCATCAATACAAATGTATACGTCAACCATGCCAGAACTATGTGACACTGCCAGAAAATATGTCATCCAGAGAATTTAAGTATGACGATATGGTTTAAGGTAGGGATAGAAGTGAGATTGCTATCAGATGACGGGGGCAAAGAATACAAACAAACAAAGGCATGGGAGGTTATGCTGAAAATATTGAGGTTAACAAGTTCATTATATAGTATTACTACAAAAGGAAATAGTAAGTAGAGGTGAAGTAAGTTAAAGTAATGTCAGCGGGATGAGTGCGTCGACGTCTAGGATAGGAGAGCTGTCCGTTTTGTGGGAACCGAGTTGCGAAATACTCTGTAGAACCACTATATCCGCGAGCCTTTTAAATCCCAGTGTTGTGTTGTTGTGTTCGCACGCAGAACCATATCGGAATCGAGAGTATTCGATATCGGAATCGCGATTGCACCTAGAGACCTTTACTTCCAGCGTGTAACCTTTAAGTGTAAAAGGGCTGAATTTTGTAAAACTAGTTACCTCTGCCCGCATCGCAAGTACCAGCAGAATGAAGATGTCGAGTCGATCTCTCATCATTATGTCATCGGTATAGAATGTTCGTGTCTAGCCAAATTTCTAGGTTTTAGTGATTGGTAGTTGTCTAAGGACAGCGCGACATTTGCAAGCAAAATTCAAAAAAAACTCTTCAGTTTTTAAATATCTGTCTCATTCTACGAACGATTCTTCTAATGGCCGTATATATCCGTTTGTGTAGTAACCATCCCCAAGAGAGCGTAGGAAAAAACAAATATTTAAGGTTTGACAGACTTTCACATCTTGGTGCACTCCTTTTGGCTCGTTGAAAACTTATATATCATTAAATGGGCCTCATCAGTTCGAGTATTATCTTCCGTGTCGCTATCGCTATAACCTATATCGGTGCCATCTGAGTAAGAGTCTTCTTCACGCACAACTGTAGGAACAAAATATCTTCTTCCTAAGGTTCTTGTATGACTTCAGCGTTGAACAGTAGATCATCCAAACCTTCATCCAGGATCTCAGTTTCATCGCCGATAGGAATCACGTAACGGTGACAGTTACGAGCCTGGAAATAGCCGAGCTTAACATCATCCACATCCGATTTTAACTCAGCCTTCAATTAGCGTCTTTGTTCTATTCTTCTTCTCGCCGAGCGCTGAAATAACGTTTTCCTTGGCTGATCATTGTTCAAAAATTCATACACCGAAATGATCTTGAACATCTCATGAAATTGGAAGGTTTGATTGAACCTCAGCAGTATACAAGCCATTCTTTTGTTCTAGGAGTTTTCACACGCTTTGCACACACATTAGCTTATTCGTTATAAAACACAACAATCTAAATATGGATCTGTTGTATGGAACGATGACGGTCGATAGTGACCGTCAATTGGCCAGCGTATTCAAAGTGCCTCGTATGGACGTGGGTACTTCTACCCGATAATCACGTCGCACTCGCCGCACCCGATCGCGCGCTATAAGGTGAATGATTTGGATTTCTAGTAGAACGATGCGGTAATCGCCGCCGAACCACTGCCGCTTGCCGTGGCATTTCGGATAGAAGTACCGCCACTCGCCTCGTCCCAAAGGCATACAAACGAAAAACTCACGTGTTAAGAAAATAAGGGCAGTAGGGGTTCAACGGGGTCTAGCTGAGTGTCTAGTCTTGTCACTAGTAGGATAATATAGACAGATCTGCATCTCCGTCGACTGCATGTTGTGCGAAATGAAGCGTGTTCCCATGGAACTACGGTGCACTCTGTGATAATCGTTACTGGACGGTACCGATTTCACAAAGTATCACTTCTCTCTTTTACCGTACGCTCGACGCAGTTGTGTAGAAAAAGTCCGTTGATGTGCGTTGGCTAATCTTTACGCAATTCCGCAGAATTTGATGTCAAGCTCGACACACGTGCATATTCCTACTCTTTTAATCCACTCGATCTAGCTTGATTCTCTTTCAAAACTGCAATTTCGGGAATGATTTTCTGTGGAGTTTGTTATTTTTGGTGGCGGTTTTCTTGCTTTACTTGGATGGCACACCAGCTCTTTCTTTTCCATGTTCTATTAGCACTCGCTAGTTTGTTAGCAAAACAATTTTTCACGCTATAAAGTTCCTACTTTTGTTAGGTGCTTGTTCGATTTTTTATTTCATGTTTTGTTCTTTCTGTTATAGCAAACTAGTGGTTGCACCATTTCTTTTTTTCAGAATGGTGTTAGCCGATCTTGGACGAAAAATTCGAAATGCCATTGGCAAGCTGGGTCAGGCAACCATTATTAATGAAGAGGAACTTGATGCCATGCTCAAAGAGGTAATTAAAGTTATTTTCTGTGCTTCGAAGGGTTGAAGTGCCTATGAACTATATCTGATAATCAAAACGACATTAACCTAATTTTAAGGTCTGCATGGCGCTCATTGAGTCAGATGTTCACATCCGTCTGGTTAAGCAACTGAAAGATAATGTGAAGTAGGTTGAGGGGTGCTGTAAGTGTATAAACAGGCTGTAATGTACAAACCTTATTTTAGGAAAGCGATCAATTTTGAAGAGATGGTTGGAGGTGTAAATAAACGACGTTTGATCCAGAAAACTGTATTCAACGAACTTCTCAAATTAGTGGACCCTGGTGTTACGCCGTATCAACCGAAAAAGGGACAACCTAATGTGATCATGTTCGTCGGTTTGCAAGGTTCAGGAAAAACCACCACTTGTACTAAGGTAACAGCTAACTTGGGTCTACTATTAACTGTCTTGGGCAGCTGCTCTAGCAAAGCTGAGATTATAACATTTAATCTTTGCCTAACTCGTTGATGACTGATATTCCTTTTCGTTAGATGGCCTATTACTATCAACGTAAGGGATGGAAGACATGCTTGATTTGTGCTGATACATTCCGTGCAGGAGCTTTCGATCAGCTCAAACAGAATGCCACAAAGGCACGGATACCTTTTTATGGTAAGCTCCGATTCCTTTCAGTATAATTTTGTACATAATTTGATGTCATAATTGCAGGCTCCTACTCTGAAATGGATCCCGTAATTATTGCTGCAGAAGGTGTAGAAAAATTCAAAAAAGAAAATTTCGAGATTATAATCGTTGATACCTCTGGAAGGCACAAGCAAGAGGCTTCACTCTTCGAAGAAATGCTGCAAGTGTCAAACGCTGTGGTAGGCTCTGGAATTTCAGTTGTTCGGAACTGATAACGGAAATTGAGTTTCTTCTCTGCAATGGAAATTAATTTCAGAACCCAGATAATGTTGTATTCGTTATGGATGCCTCTATTGGACAAGCTTGTGAAGCCCAAGCTCGTGCCTTTTCGGAAACTGTGGATGTTGCTTCTGTTATAATTACTAAACTCGACTCCCATGCAAAAGGAGGTGGAGCATTGTCCGCGTAAGCTATTTTCAAGAACGTAATTCAATTTACTTTCCAGGTTCTACCTTTTTTTGAACCTGCCATCAAACGGCTCTTACCATTACTTTAATCCCACTCGTTTTTTTTACTTTTTCCATTCAACTTTGCATATTAATTCCCACTGATCATTTTTATAGCATCTTTTGTGTACACGAAACAGCGCCCATCTATCAACAGCAACNGAAAAAAAGCTGGTACTCAAAGTTCATTGTTTAGCGTGGCTGTTACGAAATCTCCTGTTAGTTTCGTTGGTACGGGTGAACACATCGATGATTTTGAGCTATTCAAACCAAAAGCATTTGTGCAAAAACTGCTTGGAATGGGAGACATTGCTGGTTTGGTTGACATGGTCAACGATATTGGCATAAAAGATAACGAGGAGCTTGTTAGCCGTCTGAAACATGGTAATTTTCGTCACATATTACTCGACCACAACAAAGTTTTCCTTCGAGTCGGTTCTTCCTTTAAGGTCTATTCACTCTTCGGGATATGTACGAACAGTTCCAGAACATCATGAAAATGGGTCCTTTCAGTCAAATAATGGTATATTCATCAATAGTGCCACATGAAACTCGTTGTAACCTCTTATTAGCGAAATTTTCAAGAGTATGATCCCTGGATTTGGGCCTGAATTCATGACAAAAGGCAATGAAAAGGAATCTGTTGGCCGATTGAAGAAACTCATGACTATCATGGATTCAATGAGTGATACTGGTACATACCTTCATAATAATTTCTCATAATTTCCCTTGATTTCTTCTATTTAGAATTGGATCATCCGAAGGCGTCAGAGCTTTTCACAAAAGAACCAGGTCGTGTTGTTCGTGTGGCTAGAGGTTCTGGTACTACGCAAGCTGATGTATGTTCAAACAAAGTGTTTTTATGTTCTCGAAGCATCATTGAAAAGATCACATTAAGGTTCGTGAGCTACTCAGTCAGTACAAGAAGTTTGCCGACATGGTTAAGAAAATGGGATCAATCAAGGGGCTATTCTCCGTATGTTTTGGCCTTTGTTCCTCGATTTTAGAAGCGTTACATTATGTTTTTGTCTTCACGTTTCGTTTTTGCTACGTAATTTTGCTTAATTCAGGGAAAGAATGGTGATATCAACCCGAAAAACGTCAATCCTGCACAGATGATGAAACTAAATCAACAAATGGCTAAAATGATGGATCCTCGTGTATTGCAGCAGATGGGAGGAATGGGTGGTTTGCAGAACATGATGGCTCAATTGCAAAAAGCCGGTGGAGGCAAAGGGGGAGGCTTGTTTTAGTTTCAATCACCAATCAGTTCTGTATTTTTTCTGTTCATACCGTTGTTACTGAAGCACCAGTTGAACTGTTCCTCGAAGTGGTTGGACAGAGTTTCATTGGAATACTCGTTGTTTCTTTTTGGGTTATCAATAATGAGAAAACCTACACGAGATCGTTCCCAAAAAATCTTTCAAAGGAAGGTTACCTGGGTGTACTAATTGTTTTCGAATCGTCCCTTATAGCATGTTGGAATAGTATAATGCTCGAATATTAGAATGGAACTTGCTGCTGCTGTGATTGTTCATTATTCGTATTTATCGCTTTTTCGAATTCCTGATGTACATATGAGAGAGACGTTTATTCTGTTTCCGTTAATGTGAATTTGGGCTTTTTCCGAAATAAAAATGTAATAAGGTTGTTTCCACTCTGCCTTGTTCGCGGCTGTTAGTTCCTATACTTGGCTGATATACCTCATGCAAACTTTTCATTATGTACTGCTTTGATTCCAACGAAATCGTAGTGTCCTGGATCTGCCTTCAGATGGTGAGGCAAACTAGAGCAAGTGCGAAAAGTGATTCCGACTCATCCGATGAATCAGTTATAGCTGACATTCCACGCAAAGGACCGCCACCATCTGATGCAAGCTATGAGAGGAAATTTGTCATTGTTAAAGGTGTGTACGTCGAATGTATGACGTTGAGGCGGTTTTTCAGGATGGTTTTTTATGATTCACTTTGCAGAAAATTCTCTTCCAAACAGTAATCTTTACTTGATTCGTCATCCCAAGAACCGTACTCCTTGTCTGTATCGAATCAACGAGAAATACTGTGAGGAGGTAAAATTTAGACATTCTTGCCATGTTTTTCCTTCACACTAAACTTGCAAAAATAAGGCAAAGTTTTCGCTCAGACTACTTATAGCCCCACTTTTAGCTTGGTCTGTATGGATGAGAAATTATGTATGTTTCCAACTATATTCTGAAGTGGAATAGCTCTCTTTACAACTCACCACAACTTAATGAAAAACGGATGGAAGTTCCCCAATTGTTAATTCCCTAACCATCATTTTTAAGGTTGTCACCGTGGGCGATGGCTTTCGGTCATGGTTTTACGGCGACAGTGTTGTGTCAGATGGACTGATTCGCCTTTTCTCTCCCGTACATCCACTATTTCTTGCTTTACCTTATTTTTTGAATACAAAGGTGCGGTTCGTAGTTCGCTGACTGCATCCTGTTCCTATTACAAGACCTACAGGACTAATTTCAGGCTGTTTTCAAAGAGCTGGAGGAGATTGTTTCTGACCCAGAATGTCCCTCCATTACTGCACTTTTAAAAAATGAGCAGTTCCTTAAGAACATTGATAAGATTTGTGATTCAAAAGGTAGGGTTAAGAGTCTATGGTTAGCATAAATGTTGTGTTGTCGATGACCTGTTTCAGAAGTTTGTGATGCAAAAGTGTTTCGTTTCAATGAGAACCTAACCCTTGAATGGATTGCTGGTCGATTTCGGCGGCTTCGAGATGCACTCATGGAGCAGGGCGATCTACATAAGTCCATCCTATCAAATAGTTAGGTTTTGAATTTCTTTTTCCTGGATGACAGTAAGAGTTTGGCCGACTACTTTTGAGGTTCTCCTGACAACCACACTTGTAAGCTCCCATTCTTTTCTTTAAGGCGATGTGCTAGATCGGTACTCATTCGGCTTACTGTCTGACTACATGAGTCCTGACTTAACTGTGCTGGCCAAGGCCCATCTCTCCATACAAGATCCTGTAAATAATGAGAATGAACGCGTGGATATGTCAATGAAAAGAAAAGCGGACGAAAGTTTCGAATATATTGCACCAACGCAAGTCAAAGTGAGTGTTTCATTTCATTTTCCTCCGAGGTACTTCGTTTTGAGAATACAATGGGCAGGAGGGTCGGATTTTTGCATTTTCTGTTCTTAATCTCAGCTTTAGAAAATCTCATTTCAGAAGCCTAAAGAATCGATAATAACGAAGAAACTGCAGCAAGCCAGTAAAGGCACAAAATCTATAAGTAACTTTTTCACTAAGAAAACATAAACGGGTGTGTATCCTTGTGATTTCACTCACCACTCTCATAATTTTTGATTACTTTCTGCCTGACTTCACATTGACACTTTTGGTTCGCTTGGGCATTGCTTTATCCGCCTTTATCATTGATTGCCTTGCCACCTTTGTGAAACGGTGATCTCATGTGACAGTTACTAATAAGCTTTTCAAAATTTCAAGCTTTCACATTTGTAGTAAGTATCAGGGCTATTCTGGGTTTTGTTTATGTGCTCATGTTCTGATTCCAATAAACTGATTCGTTCAAGTTATATCTGGATTTCACTTGGTTCGGTTTTGATACGAGAGGAGTACTTGTGGAATTATCGCCTTTCTTGCAGTTGAGCTCTGCAGTTCTTGTAAAAGTTATACAGAGGTTAAGATTTTTGGCCCTGATTGATCCCGTTCCGGTTTACACTCCATATCCGGCAACCGTTGGGAATTGTGTAGCTTCTGAATGAGTATTTTACCTATGCAGTGGTATACGAAACTGCTACTAGTTCTCCTACACCTACTCATTGACCACAGAAGTCTGGACAACATATAAGTCATTGCTTTTCTGTGAAATTGTTTACCTTTCGCAAAGGACATAATTGGGTCAACCNCCATTTCCTTTAATGTTGTTTGAAACCCACTCTAATGTTTAAATATCTCGCTTCTGAAGGAATCGAAAATGTCGCGGCTCGCGGCATCTCGAATCGTTCATGCCGGCAGAGGAATAGGTGACGTGACTCCTTATGGAAAGCGAATGGATCGCCTCAGCAGAAGGATCTTTGGTGAAGTTGTTCGAGCTACCGATGACAGGAGCATGAAGGTGGTCCTTATACGCTTTTAGTTTTTGTTCAAACCAAGTATATCCTACTTCTAGAAAAGAGGGAAATTTAGATAGCTAGTGGTGTTCACAGGTACTGAGCGACGACCTCGATGACTTTTCACGAGGGCTAGGCGTATGACGGCGCACCTTATCAGTAAAACGGTAATCCCCAGTGAATAGAAACGTTTTAAACTGAGCAATGTAATGGAGCCTCTATGTAGCTTTGCGCGCAGGGGACTGAGAATTTCGAGAATTTCTAACAATTGAAGAGGTTGAGCCCTACATTAACCGAAGCTTTATGGTAAGCTAAAAAGTGGAAGCCGTGAACATAGTCTTGAACGGCACCGGTTCTAATCTTTCCGTTTTTTTCTCTTATGAAAACATTCCTTCGAATAGTCTAAAATTGAGTCTGTTTCGAAAATAAGCTATCTTCAGCAATATAATTCGGACACAACAGTGGCTATAGCAGTCCTTTGAATTCTAGTCCATAATCCACCAACAAATCCAACACCTAGAATTTTGCGCCAGCCTGTCACTGCTTGAATCCAGTACTTTCTAAATTACTGCTTTTTAAGGTAGTTCGGATCATGTCTGCAGAACCAATTGAAACGAAGGAACAACTGTCTGTGAAATATTATCCTAATTTACCAATGTTCCACTACCTCACCAAAATGCTTCGATTCCACGGCCTTTTCTTCGACGACCATGTTGTATTTCGGCAGGTAGGATTATGTTGACGTTTTCTATTATACGGGCGAGCTCCGCTATTGAACAGATAAGGAACTTATTCCTTCAATCATTATTTCTGTAAAGTGAAATGCTTCTGCCTTGGGAGCAGTGTAGCTTCGGAAAAACTTCAAAAAAACATGTACGCGTACCGTGATTTCACTCACAGAAAACTTGCGAAAATAATGTTGAGTTATCGGGAGAGGCTGTTGTCTGTGACTTTTTTGCTATCAGCAACTTCTGCTTTACAACGAGCGAAAAATAGTATAAAACAAATGTTGGGCTGTGGTAGGTAGCTTGACATTAGGCGGGTTTTAGTTTTTGACACGTTGCCTTGTTGTACTGTTAATACTTCTTCTCACTACCCTACCTTGATGGGTCACAACCTTGTGTCAGGTTGTGAAGCGTTAGTCTTCTGGTATGTTTCAGCATCCAGAAAGTACGGGACTTCCGCTTTTAAGACGGCTTAGCTTCGATTGATGTACGTCCCAGATAGGAGTGATTAAGAACTTAAAGGTGGCTGGAGTAGCTTTGGTGTTCTGGCATGTATTCGATTGTGGGATTCCTCCTGAATCTACTTTTCTCATCTTTTGAAACATACTTTCTCTCGATTGAACATTGGGTTGTCGCTTTTCTGAAAACACTATTTAAAGAGTAGATATTTTAGAAGAAAAATGACAAACCCGGTGTTTTTCCATCAAAATTATCACTCCGTATCATATTCGTAAGAATTTCGTTCCACGTTCTTTAGCGAGAAACGGAACGTTCGTCCAAGGCTAGTCTGAGCATTTCCCAGCCTTGCCATCGGGCGCCTGTGTCCTATCTTTCCTTCCTGATTAGATAACAACACACTGTGCTATCGCCAGGTTTTTTTTTTCAATCTGAGCGATTTCGCAACAGGAAATAAACCCACCAGACACGGCTTGGAAACTTTCTTTTGTTTAATGATACTTGTGGATTCATTGCCTCACCTCACACGTTGAAAGACTTCGATTCTTGAGTATAAGAGTTGTGCGAGTTTTGGAAATTCTTCGTAGCCGTATTATATAAGAAGATTTCGTTGTTTTGCGCATAAGAGTTATTCGAGTTTTAGAAGTTGTGCGGAAAGGCATCCTGTTATATATATTGTTTAGTGAAATAATTTCCGGTTCAGGTACAAGATGAGCTCAAAATTCTACGTGGCAAAGTGGTAAGACCACCGATTGGACAAGGAAAGCGAGCATTGCTGAGAGGCGCGAAGAAGTAAACATTTCTGATTAGTTATTAGTATAGATGTAATCATGAATGAAGTGTAATAAACTGTTTTTTTTACCCAAATGTTCTGCATTCGCTCATATAGTATTACATATAGTTTACCTCTCTCTATTCTGGAAAACATTTTTCACGTGGTATCTGGACAACATAATGAGCACAGTAAGAAGTGACCGCTGTTGCACGATTGGGTTTGAGAGCGCGACGTGTGCTCAGTTCAATGAAGAGAACAGCTGAAGGCCAAGTAAAGGACCGAGATGTTGGTAAGCGCCAATTTCCGTGTTGACTCTGTGTAGTAAAATGTTCTCATTTATTTGTGCTGGAAATAGTGCCGAGTTGCGCCTCAAGTTCTACCACGAGATGCACTGATTCACTTGTATAATGAAATACTTTTCATTCATTATTATTCATTCCCGTTCTCTTCCAAGACCCGATTTTTTCTTTTTCATGACCTCGACATTTCCTTTCTTTCGCTTGGGCCTTTAGCGGTCACGTAATTGTGATTATGTTATGCTCTTGAATTGCGAGCATCGCGTGACTGAATCTTGTAATACAATACTAGAGAAAAGGGAAGGGTTTTGAGTCCCTTCTTTCACCAAAGACCTGGTCCCTCCTTGCAGATATGTTCGGTCAACCGAAGGAGAAAATAGGAACATGGGAAGGAAAACACTCAGATGAAATACTCATTTTCACTCACAAGGATTGTGAACATCGGCCAAAGGTTGCTGCATTCGATATGGGTACGGGAAGCTTGCTTGATTTCGGTCAATTTTTATCACGTTTATTCATTTTACGCTCATTATAGATGGAACCTTAATAACAACCAAGTCGGGTAAGGTGTTCCCTGTAGACAATTCCGACTGGAGGATTATGTACGATAAGATTGGACCTCATCTGAAGAAATTACACAACGAAGAAAATTTCAAAATTGTCATCTTTACCAACCAAAAAGGCTTACAGGTATTGGTTTTCCGTGTAACGCTGTCTATCACTTCTTGACAGAACATTTGGTACTTTTTACGTCATAGTACGCACGATAATTCTTATCTTTAGTACAAAAATCCACATGTTTACAATCTTGATAAATCGCCGTCGATGTAGGTGCACGGTATAGGTGATTGGAGAGCATAAGTATCGTGAAGTCTAAAGTGTTAGATGAAACCGTAGCAATGTAATTGATATGCCACTACGACTCTTGAATAAGTACAGTATTGCCTGATAATCATTTGAGTTATGGGAACGCTCACTAGAAAATCCGGTTTCGAACTTGCGCAAATATATTTCTCACTATCAAATGGGTCAGATGCATTTGAAGTTGGGTAGTAAATTGTGGATGGGAAATTTTATTTGAGATCTCAGCTCATAAGGTCATTACCCCTTTGGTAAAGATTACAGGTGAAATTGGCTTTATAGCTTGGAAATGTTGATGTAGGGATGTAAAGCATCGACAAACGGGTCTGGGATGCCATATCGTAGGTAGCCTGATTCATCAACTCCCGGAAGTATTAATGTTTGTCATGTTTTGGGAGAGCGAGTACATTTCCAACCCCATTTCAGACAGGAAAAGTCGATAAAAATGGTTTCAAGCGAAAAGTGGAGACGGTTATCACGAAACTTGGAGTTCCAGCTCAGGTTCTTTTACACCTTACCATGTTATTGTGGCCTTCGTCATGCCCTATTGCAGGCGTTCGTGGCTATAGGCGAGGGACATTATCGTAAACCTTGTACCGGGATGTGGAAAGAACTGGAAGAGGCAAATGGTGAAATCGGTATCAAACTTGACGAATCACTATATGTAGGAGATGCGGCGGGTAGACACAAAACTAAGGTATTCGAATATGTCTAGTGCTCCTAGAATTCGTAGAGTAATGGGAAATGATTGAGTAATTCTCGGTATTTCAGACTCGTCCTAAAAAGGATCATTCTTGCTCTGATCGTTTCTTCGCAGCTAATGTGGGGCTCACGTTCCATACTCCTGAAGAGTTCTTCCTCGACCAGAAAACACCTGAACCTTGGGGACCACCTTCCTTCGATCCAGCTGAGTTTTTCAGTACGAAAAGGCCCTTACTCGAACCAGAAGGTGAGTAAAAGAATTCTTGAATGTCTAAGTTATCATGCCCGTAGTGAGGTGCAGCCGTACATGGAAATCTCTGGCGACCGTTAGAGATGTCAAAGACTGTAAACGCTGTTTCAGCTGTTGCCACTCAAGTTATGGCCATTATAATGCACTTCACCACTTATAAACTCAATTTTGCTTAAGCAAACGGACCTGCCAACGTGTGGTATCCTTCTGAGATTGGGATTGGCTTTCATACCTGTCTGTAACCATGCCAGATGAGAATATTCTGACCTTTGCTAGACCGTGTGCCTAGCAGTTCACATTCGATGTCTTANGGGTCTGAATTCAAAGTTCCAAGATAAGTAGACTACCCCTCTCTGGTTAGCCTCCTCTGAAGGTTGCCCAAGATTTAATCGACTTTGGGCTTTTCCTTTTTGATAAAACCCCGTCTTAAAGTTAAATAAAATGAATAATAAACAAAAGTAAAGGTCAATTAAGTCTTGTAGTGGATGCTGCCATATCCGGTGGCTGTTCAGTTCTTTTCAGTTTTCAGATACTCCATTGCCATCACCAGCAAAAGAAGTAATCGTGATTGTCGGTTTTCCGGGATCAGGGAAGTCGACATTTGCTCGGATGTTGGAGGTGGACCATGGATACATGGTGGTGAATCGTGACACCCTTGGCACTTGGCAGAAGTGTTGCGAACATGCACGAGTTCATCTCAGATCTGGAAAGAGCGTGGTTGTGGACAACACCAATCCAAATAAGGAATCAAGGTAGAAATTGGGCATCAGAATTTGAGATCAGAAAATCTTTCGTTGTTTGAAGTTGTATTTATTGCACATAGGAGTCGCTATATAGCATTGGCGAAAGAGATGAAGGTCCCCTGCCGATGTTTCGCCCTTACTTGCGATATTCATCAAGCCGAACATAATGTGAAATACCGTCTCCTAACGCAAAAGTCTGCCAACGAAGTCACCGCAATGGTACTTCGTATGTATGCGAATAAATATGAGGTGAGTCCTTTAGTGAGGCACTTGCAGGTTGTGCTATATGCTGCGTAGCAATGGGTTACAGAGGCTGTCAAACTCAAAGACTCCTCAGATACGGTGAATGACTTTGGGTTACAAGATACTGCAGGATATCGTTCCAAGCTGATCTTCTTAGTACCCACTAATTCCCGAATTTCCCGATAGGGTGGTGTCGCACCCATTAGTTTAGGTGGTCAGGCTTGCGAAGAAAGCCGTATGTGAGAGTTTGAGGGAACGGTCTAATCCATTGAACTCTTCCTTCTTGTTCTGAATGATTTTCTGACGGCTTCGCCAAATTACCTGTATCCACCACGTGCTTGACTTCGGTTTGGACCTTCTCTAACATGTGTAGAGCAAGTGATGTGTCAAGTCCTTCCAATATACATATTCTTATGTCTACTTAAAGGCACCGTTCACGACAATTCTGGGTAATCCAGATTATGGTGAAAAATGGAAGACAAGATCGAAACTAGTGCGACTGAGGTGAAGAAACTGCGTGCATCGGTGTTTCCATAGTGAAAAAGGTCTCGAAAAAACGTTAAAAAGGGGGCTGGACGTGAATGAAACCAGAGAAATGAAGAAGGGTGGGGCGTCCGGACGAGCTAAATAATGTGTTTCAGTGGTAAGTGTGGGTCCTGGTGCGAGTAACAGACTATGGTAAGCATAATTCACCCAATTGTAAGCATAAGTAAACA